GTAGTCTCCATTAGCCTTAATGGAAAAAGTTTGAAACAACCAGGACTCTTCCTAGAGCTGGCCTCATGGCCAATCTGAGCAATTAATGGAGAAGGGATTTGGTTAGAGTGGCGAAAAACCTTGATGGCCACTCTAGTTGAACTCCCTGGTCATATGTGTAGACAGGGGCGATTTTAAGATTTTCGTTTTAGGGGGGCTCAGCCCCCAATGAGGGTATAATATTAAAAATAATAGTAAACATATAAATTAAATTAAAAATGATTGACTAATAGGGTAAGGTGGTAAACTAAACTTATTGCATTTTGCAACTTATTGTATTCTACTGTACTGCATAGATAGGTATAACATTTGAGTACTGAATAAGCCATATAATCCTGATCTCTCTCTCTCTCTCTCTCTCTCTCTCTCTCTCTCACACACACACACACACGTTTACTTAGCTATCTAAATTGGGACATCCCATAGGCGTAATGGTTTTTATACTGTACAAATATGTATATTCTATCACCCTACACCTAAACCTACCCATTACAGGAAACTTTCTGCATTTTTACAATTAAAAAAAAAACTTTGTTTACTTTATTTTTTATACCAGTTTTACAAATGAGGACGTCCCCAAAGGGAGGTTTTTGGAGATTTTGTCATGTTTAGTTCACTTTTGGGTACAAAATTGTCCCCAAAATATGGTTAAGTAGGTACACACACACACACCTGTTTACTGTACAAACAATTTTACTGTTTGCATTTCTAGTAGGCCACAACCCTCTTTCTTTAGCACAGGTATGCAAACTATTTGCCATATGCACTGTAATTTATGTGTTTTATATTAAAAGAAAAAATTTCAAATAAAAATGGCAACATGATCGTTTTATATATAGTATGTGTTTATATAGCCTATGTATTAAGGGCTTCATTTTCGCTGGAGAAAACAGCTGTGGTGTGATAACTGGTGAACGCAGCGAAAACTTTACAGGAGATGGAAAACCGATTGCTCCCCCATGATATTTTGTAAACTGTCTTTATGACAAAGAACTGCACAGATGCAGATATTATAACAATCTATCGATAAACACACACCTTGTCCTCTGTTTCTCGCTCTGTGCCTCTGCAGAATGAAGAACGCGCTGAAAGACGGGGAGGATCCGAAGTCTGCCGCCGTTTTCATATGAAATTTAAATGGGACTGAGGCGATCACGAATTCGTGTACAGTTTATGGAGCTAATCGCAAAATTTTTATGGGGGCTGAGTAATCATTTTAGGGGGGCTATAGCCCCCTAAAAATGTCCTAGCGACGCCCATGTGTGTAGATAGGAGAAACCTACAGAAGAACAAACATCACCGCAACACTCCATCTGGGCTTTATGGCGGTGTGGCAAGACTCAATCCTCTCCTTAGTGACGACACATGGAAACACACTTGGAATTTGCAAAAAAGCATCTAAAGGACATTCAGACTGTGAGAAACAAGATTCTCTGGTCTGATTAACCTCAATTCCAAGCGTAAAGAGTGGCTTATAGACAGCTCTGTGAATGTCCTTGAGTGGCCCAGCCAGAGCCTGGGTTTAAACCCAATCAAATATTTCTGGAGAAATCTGAAAATGTGTGTCTGCCCCCATCCAACCTGACAGAGCTTGAGAGGTGAACAGGTGAGGTGAAGAATGACAGATAATTGCCAAATGCTGATGAGCAAAGCTTGTCACATCATACCCAAAAAGACTTGAGGCTGTAAAGCTGCTTCAGCACAGTACTGAGGTAAGGGTATGAATACAATGTATTTATTCCAGTTTTTTATTTTTAATAAATTGATGAAGCTGTGACAATTTTTGCTTTGTCATTATGGTGTTTGGCAGGGGTTCCCAAACTTTTCCATTCCATGACCCACCTAGACAGGAATAATCTAATTCAAGACCCACCAAAATATTTGTGATAAAAAAACAACTGACATTAAATGTGCTGTATGTAAGTTTTTGACTCTACTAAAGCATAAAAATACCATAATATGTTTGCAAATATTTAAGAAACATGCTAAGTTAACATATTTGTTTATCTGAAAAACAATACTACAGTCAGTTATTCTCCTTTGAAAATGTAAGTTTCGGGCCGAAATGTTGGTCTCTGTTTTGGTTTGTGAAACCCGCTCACTGCCAGGTTTTTTTTTTTCAATTTTTGAGCTCTTTACAGCAGGATGGATTCTGATTGCCTGTCAATTTTTTTATCGTTCATCAACTGGAGAAAAATCGTTTTGAAAGTGATTCCAGTGATATCATTTCTTTTTGTCTTTATCGTTATAGTTGTGGTGTGGACTCTGCTATTCTTTAATATTGAGAACGATTTTTAGAACTATACCTTTATAGTTATGGTTCTTGGTGTGAACGGGGCTTAACGAGCTCGAGAATTTAAAGCGGCAGAGGAGCGTGCGCTTAGAATGAACAGACGATATCGTCCGCTGGTGTGGACGCTAATATCGTAATCTTTATATCGTTCTTGGTGTGAACAGGGCTTAAGGCTCAATACTTTCTATCGTCAGGTGCCTCGTTCCTGTTGGTGTCGTCAATCTGGCAACCTGCATGTGCGTCAAGTCTGAGGAGGAGGGACCGGGTGAAAAAAACCCTCTCCAATATTTTGAATTTGGACTGCAATGCCTAGTTCAACCACTCGGTGTCAATCCTACATACAGTACCTTTAATGTAAGCTTAATCGTAATTAAAAGTTTAATATGGCAGAAATTAAGTATTTAAGAAATATAGCCATTTTATTTTATAGTACAACTGTAAAATGTCACTACTAATATTTACCATTTTATTTCTTCATTTACAGATGTTAATGAGACTATGAAATAAGTCCATAAAAAACTCCAAGCATGCTCACTCCGATAGGATATGAACTGTAATCTGCACAGCGAGTGTTGTTAAACTCATCGCGGGGTTCAGCGCAGAAAATGCTCACGGGAGAGCAAAGCACAACCCAACACTTATTTTTAGCAAAGCATAAGAGGCGAAGCAGAACTATCTAAAACAGTTTGGAGATTAAAATAAGTATGAAATTATTGTAAAAATAATAAACAGATGTGTCTCAATTTAAATAAACACTAAACACAGAAATGTATTTCAGCCAGAATTTTACTTTTGCAATAGTTAAATAAATGTTCAGCGAATATCTTCAAAAAATGTTTGAACTTTGAACTTTTTGATTATTATTATTATTATTTTTTTTTACTTTTTGAACTTTAGCTTTTTACAGACCGTTTCCTTATTGATAAGTAGCCAAATGCATATTAAGGAATGAAAACAACAAACTCTATATCTCTTGGAAAGATACAGCGCCGAGTTCAAACAGATGATAGAAATGAATGAACATACCTGAAACAGTTTTCATAACATTTGAATTTTTTTCTGGTGTTTGCAATCTCATGCAGAATACAATGCAGTGAAGTTTCAATGCAGAATTAATAATGCTGATCGAGTCTTTTAATAATGAACCGTCACTCTGAGACCCTCACTATTATTACAACTCGTGCGCGCCTGCTCTTCAAAACACGCAACGCATGTTTTAAATCGCGGCATTTGCGAATTGAAAATCACACTAAGCAATATCGTAATTAATGTTGGTATATTGTGCAGCCCTAGACTGAACTGTGTGAGTGTGTGTGTCATTGAAACACAAATTTAGCTGCAGCCAAGTGACTTTTTGCGACCCACAGTTTGAAAACCCCTGTGTATGGAGTGTAGATTGATGTAAAAAAAAGAAGAAGAATAAAATAGGTCATTTAAAGCAGTTTAACATAAGGCAGCAACATAACAAAACGTGGAAAAAATGTGTGTGAATAATTTTGTGCATTCAGTGTTGTGTATTCCTTAGTTACTGAGCAGTGTTTTGAAAAAATTAATGGGGTATGAATACATTCGCGAAAAAAGTATTCATGGGGGTATACATACCCTTCGTGAAAAAAATGAAGGGGTATTAATACGTTCACAAGGCACTGCACATTCAGTGCTGTGTATTTCTTCGATACTGAGCAGTGTTTTCAGGCATAACTGTTTAAGTTTTGTCACCCCTTCATTGCTGTACACTTTTTTTTTCTAGATAGTGTCTGATTTGTAGATTGTACACACAAAAACATCTTTGTATTTTTGCCTATTTCCCATTAATTTCCTATGGCGGTCTATTCCAATGAAGTAGAGATTTTTTAAATTTCCAAACCTTTTTTTTTTGGTCTAAAATCATGGAACCTATACCAGAGGGTTAAATTAGGAATAAGACGTTAATTTGGTAGATGGGCACTGAATAATTACCAGAGTCATTAAGAAACTTTAAGTGTCCAAAACCCATGATTTGATCATAAAAAGTTTTATAATGCCTTGGTATTTATTGCTAGTGAATCTGTTCTGCCATTCTAATTCCTCTGTGCCTGGTATGCAATATGTGCAAAAGCAACAGTACATAGCAATGTTCCACACTAACTGTTAACATGCATGCACACATGCTAATGAATCAACACAAAACCATATAAAGGAAACAAATAATGAATTGATTTAGGATTTCAATTCAAGATTTACATATTTATGAGTGAAACCTCTTAGAATAAGAATTTCCATCTAAGATCAACTTCTCTCACTGCAATTTGGGTAATAGCAAACCTATACAAAAACCTCTTATAGAAGATGTACCTCAGTATATATAATGGCACTGAATAATTACAACTTCTGTTTACCATGGTTCTCACTATTACTTACCATGGTACTTTTCTTTAAAGAGAGATTCTTGCACTAACAAATTTTATACATATTGTCCAAGGTTCCAACTTGCCAATACTGATATTCAGTATTTAAACTAAGTATAATTGATCAGAAATCAGGAACTGTAACTCTGCTTAATGATTGAAAGAGAGAGAGAGAAAAAATTAAACAAAATGTATCTAATTCTAAATGTCTAATTCATTGGAATGTTGAAGTGTCAGTCAAGTGTAGTTCATACCACATTGGTATGGTAGGGGGTCAGAGGGGTGTGAGCCTTGGGGGGTCTCTATTAGTCATACTGGTCCCTCAGTCATGCCCTCCAGAGGCAGGCTGGTGGCATTATCCATGGGCAGAGGTTGATCCTGGGAGGTTGGCATGTTGTGGGCAGTTGCTGCAGCCAGACTAGCATATGGCAGGTGGCAGTCTACATCCAGGATGGGTGGGTAGTGCTGCCGATAACAGATGTAGGCAAAGAAGAGGCCGATCAATCCCCCAACAAAAGCATCTGTGAGGAACAAATCAAAGTTCACTAAGTAAGACATAGTCTTAGTGAAAGTAGGACTTTGGTCCATCGATCCATTCATCCATATAGCTTTGTAACTGTCTGTCTTAAATATAATATTATGTTTTCATTCTGTTATTGTTGTTATTCTCATGAATAATTCAATTAACCCACAAAGAGGATCAATTGTATTTTACAGCAAACAAAGGTTTATAGGAGACAAAGGCATAATTTTTCCTAAGGCTATGCTATATCTAATTGTGGCTCTACTGAACTGTGTCTTTTAGTGCCCAAAGAAGATAATGTTTTGGTACTGATATAGCATTCTTAAACAAATACGATTCTCCTAATGGCTTCTGCCATTTAATGCTACCCTGAGAGGAAGAATTTAAGCACCACCATTGTGAGGGTTGTTAAAAGAGCTGGACTGCACACTGACACACAGCTGTACAACCAAACCTCAAAGCTATTTCATTCCCAAAATGTGAGGTCTAAAATAAAATTAAATGACTGAAACATAATTTTGAGTATAGACTGATAAATTACCCCTGGAACAAACCCACACTCATTAGATCAGCATGCTACAGGGCAAGCTTGTATGAGTCCACAGCTTGTATTTACTTGGACCAGATTGGACCCATCAAGTTTAATGGTCCATGCCACTGTTGTTCAGATTAGTTCAGTTCTACTACCCAGCAGGTCTCAGGGGACAGGTCCATATAAAGTCACACTAATAAGTATCTGCTTGCCGTTGTCTGATATAAGGTGTCCTTCTGCAAAGTGACAAGGAAATAAATGGATATGTATATATAACCAAATTAAGTGTTACTATGCATATTTATAGTTTAGTAACAAAATCTAGGACATGCACACTTTTCAGGAGATAATTAAGAGTGCCAGCTGCTTATTTGCTGGAAAACTCTAATTTGTGCTGTCATTCATTTCAGGGATTTCACTTTTTTTATTCTCTCTGTAGTTTAAAGTCAGAAATTCACAAATACAACATAAATAATAATATAAATAGTAAATAGTAGCTTTTCAAAATGCCATACTATATTCAAACATAGTAGTCTCTGAAAATGCATAATTCCTGAACAGGAATAGTTATATGCAGACATAAAAAAATACTTTCATTCGTCTGTGGAACACAAAAAGAAATACACTGCTCACACTCACAATTTTCAAGCTGATTTTGTCCACAATAAAAGAGAATGGGTTCAATGCTCCAAAGATGACAAAAAGTCCTCAAAAATTACTTTATACAACTTGTACATATATTGAGGTATTCTAAAGTCATATAATAGCTTTGTGTGAGAAACAGTGTCTCACCTTATTTAATATCAGTGATGAAACACTCAAAATCCATTGATGATTTAAGGACCACATTTATACAGTATGAGTGCGAATGAGATTTAAGAGTTGTGGCGGATGAAAAGATTGTTAGTGCATATGGTGACCTACATTTCATATGGGCACAACATGATGCTGTGAAAGGCCTGCATTTCATATAGGCACAGCATGAGGCTGTGAAAGGCCCAAACATACACAATTAGCGTATAGTGTCTTCTGCTAAGGTCAGTTTTTTTCTTTCATATCATGGCGAAGCAAAAGTTTAAATAGAACTGGGTTCCTTAAATCCAGTCCTGAAGGGCCAGTGCCCCGCAGGTTTTGGCTCCAACTCTGATCAAACATGCTTGAGCAAGCTAAGCAAGGTCTTCAGGATCTCACAGAAAATCACAGGTAGATAAGATTGATCAGAGTTTGAGCTAAACTGTGCAGATTTGAGGTTCAATTTAGTTCAAATTTTGATATGTTTATGAATATATGTTTGAATAATGAATAAAATTGAACATTGCAATATGTTTGAATAATAACACATTTTATTTTTGTGGCATCACACTTGCAGTATGTTGCCTAAACATCTTGTCTGAGTTAGTGTACTTCCATTATGTTTATTTCTTCCCTAAATTACAAAACTTTAATTTGTAGGTAAACAACTCTGCATGTGTGTGAACATGGTGAGATTAGGCTAAAAATCCTAGTAAACATTCAAGATTGGGGGGACCAAAGGTAAAACTTGAACAAATGGTCATGGACAAGCCTATATTGACTCACCACTAATCTGAATATTAGGGATACATCCCCTTAATGTCTATGAAAGTTATGGCCCAGAATATAGAATAAACCAAATGGAGAGATAAAATCATAATGCTGAATCCACCATTTTGTCTGACAAACAAATCAGTCAGGAGAGTAGATTAACTTTGGTGGACTTAAACTTGAACACTGTGTGTACTGATGTCTTTCCATCATATAATGTCATGCCTCCTTTGTAGATTCAGACTTTTCAGTGGATGGATCATGTGGATTCCCATCCTGTCTGAGGCTGTTATTGATGGTGACAGTTTGGCTGTGCACCAAGGTGATTCTGGATGAAACACAGGCATTATTGATAAATTTGTGGAAGGAAAAATCAGGCTAGTGAGCTGTAAAGATGATGTTAAAGCTGGCAAACAATTGCTGATGCTTTATTACAAAGAAGTAGTAACTCCAGCAAACCATTCATACTCAGTATTATGCTCTACAGGTCTTGACCCTGTTAAATCCCTGGAAAAAGTTAATTACATTGATGATCACAAGGCTATATTAAAAACTGTCCAAATTAGTACAAGGCTATTTTAATAGGGAGTACAATAGCTTTGTTCTAATAGGGAGCTGCCTTGCTGTCTGCGGTCTACATAAGTTCTGACTAAATTAATAACGCACAAACTTTTTTTCTATAAACAAATCCTTGCGAAAGTATTCAAACCCCTTAATTTTTTTCATGTTTTGTTATGTTGCAGCCTTATGTTAAGCTGCTTTAAATTACTTTTTTCCCCACATCAATCTACACACCATACACCATAATGACAAAACAAATCACAGCTTTTAAACATCTTTTCAAATTTATTAAAGATAAAAAATTTAAATGATTCCATTGCATAAATATTCATACCCTTATCTGGGACAGTTGAAAGCTGAAAGTAATACTTATGCAATGTACTTATTTCAGTTTTTTTTTTATAAATTTACAAAGTTGTGACAGTTCTGTTTTTGCTTAGCCATTATGGTGTGTGGAGTGTAGATTGATGTGGAAAAAAAGTTATTTAAAGCAGTTTAACATAAGGCTCTTTCATAACAAAACATGAAAAAAATGAAGGGGTTTGAATACTTTCACAAGGCACTGTAGTTTTAATAATCAATTTATTTGTAATGAACACACTGAAGTGATCTTTACATTTGATTATTTGTTTTTTCTTACTTTAATGCTTTTGCTTAGATGTAAAATGAAAAAGGTAATGCATTTGTTTTTTTTTCTTATGTTTGTTCTACTGCTTTTTTTGCATATGTTCTTTTTTATAATAACAAAGATAAAATACAAAAATCTATATTGTGATTACTAATATAGTAATTACTATTAAGAAAAGAACTGGAGGAAAAATGCAATGTTGCTAGGTGATTTTGCTTTGGAACCTTCAGAAAACTTTAATTCGATTTTTCTCAGAATTGAGTTTGCTGACTCTGTCGACTTCAAATGACTCAGTTGTCCAATTCCAAGAAATCATTAATTTTGAAGGTCTTTTAATGGAGAATGTGAAATTTAAAAAAAATTAAAAAAATAAAATAAATAATAATAAAAAATAAAAATAATTTGCTAATTGTGATTCATTTTGCCAGCACTAGTCACAGTTTGTCTTTAACTGTGACTTAGATGAAAAACAAATTTTATTAGGAATTAATGCAGAAATCCAGATATTTCAGAATACAGTCTCTGCATGCTTTTGTGGAACACTGCTGCAAACCTCTGACCTTGCCAGTGATGTTTGTAGTCGCAGGTGCGGGACAGGGCAATCATCATTGCACTGTAGAGGGGCAGGATCATGGCACAGAGACGCCAGCTGCGCCCGCGTCCGGCAGCTGTGAAGCACTGCAACTTGCCTGCCAAGTAGAATGAAGTAAAGCCCAGACCAGAGAAAGCAACTAAAACAAAAGGTGAAAGAAACAGAAATAGAAAATGTTAAAAGTAAATGCAAAGTCCTATAAGAAACAACACATCACATAAAAAACCTCTTTGATATCTAAATGGTCTCCTAGACAGCAGCAATATTACATAGAACTGCTGTCTCATCCTTCTAAAATAGAATCACTATAGAACACACCAAATGTTCTGATCTTTCTAAATGCACTGAACAGAACCTGGATTTCTGTGAATTCCATGAAAAGTCATATATGAAAATAAAATTTGAGAGCACTCTTATTACTTTTCTGCTCTCTGATGCAGGAGTGTTATGATCTTAGCCTGTGTTCCCCTGTCTTGTGTTTGGACTTGTTTGAAATGTGTTACTTTCTGTCTAGAGTGCTATTTTTAAGTCAACTTAAAGTCCTTTTGTTTCATTGGTTGCATTCCCAGGTGTGTCTTGTTTCCGTGTTACGTTGTTAGTGTCTCTGTGTATAGCCCAGTGTTTTAGTCAGTCTTGGTAGTTGTTGTCTTTGAGATGTTGTTGCGTGTAGTTCCTTTGCCTTGTTCTCCCTGTGTTCTGTTTACTATTTCATGTTCTGAATTACCTTGTTTTAATAAAAATGTACTGCTTGCTTTTCGATTCTGCCTCTCCTCTTCCCTGCTTATGATAATGTACGCAAATGTATTTGTGCGTCTACCTTATCGTGTTCTTCTTTGGTAAATAATTCATTTTACACTGGTATTACTTTTTCAAATTTTTGCACACTTGATTCCTATTCCCTTTAAAAGGAGGTTTCTCAATAGAAAGCAGCCACTTCCTTACTTGATCCAATACCCACTAGTTTATTTCGATCATGTTTTGTTTCTTTGTGTCCTGTTGTCTTCAGTATTATAAAGGACTCTTTTGGCGCTTTTCCACTGCGTGGTAAGACTCGGCTCGGCACGGCTCAGTACGGCACGGCACGGTTTGGCTCGGCACGGTTTGCGTTTCCACTGCAGTTCAGTACCGCTTTAGAGTGGGCGGGATTATTCACATGTCGTTATAGTTGCGCCGCCTCTACTACCACGACTCCTGAAAAAAACTTTGTTCAAGCTCTCACTGGATCCGCTCCTCTGCTATCAACGAGAGGAACATCTGTTCTTCCGCAACAGACAACAAAACTTTTTGGTTGTTAAAAAAAAAAGCTGCGCGCGTTCAAAACAGGTGCGTTCGATCCTTCGCTGGCTGTGCTTATTTAAATCTAGTGGTTCTTTTGTGTTTGTGTCGCAAGTTCAGTGACGCAGGTAGTGACGATTCTCTCCGGCCAATCCGTGATCAGCAAAGTTTACACGTCACGTTTTGGTAACGGTACGGTTCACTTGGAACCCCAACCGAGGTGGTACTAAAAAAAGTACCAGGCACCAGGTACTGTACCCAATGGAAAACCCCCCAAAAGTGAACCGTACCGAGCCGTACCGTGCCATACCATGCAGTGGAAAAGTGCCATTTGTGTACTGGTGTTGTGCCAGCAGCTTTTAAAATAGCTGCGGTTACCCCAGTACCAAAAAAACAAACATTGATTATGAAAACCTTAAAATGTTTTGTCCTATTTCCAATCTCCCTTTTCTTGCTAAAATTTTGGAGAGAGTTGTTGCTGCTCAGTTAATTTCTCATTTAACTGAAAACAACCTTTTTGAGTCTTTGCAGTGTAGCGCCTGTAAATTCCATAGCGTTGAAACAGCATTGGTCAAGGTCACTAATGATCTGCTAATTGCCTCAGATTCTGGCTGTCTTTCAATTTTGATACTTCTTGATCTCAGTGCCGCTTTTGACACTGTAGATCGTTCTCTTTTAATTACTTGTTTTGAAACTCTTTTTGGGGTCTCTGATACTGTACTTAATTGGTTTAAGCCCTACCTCATGCAGCTTGTTACCATGGGTGGATTTAGGTCAGAGCTTTATTTATTTGTCAGAGCTTTTAACTCCCTATACCCCAATGCATGACCTTTGCTCTTCTGATACTGGTTAGTTAACTGTTCCATCAACCCGCTTAAAATTGATGGGTGATAGGGCTTTTTCTTCTGTAGCGCCAAAACTATGGAACTCCTTATTTATTGAAATAAGGCAAGCAAAATATCTTAACATTTTTAAATCCCACCTTAAAACAAATTTCTAATATTCTTTTTATATTCATTTTAGATTATTTTATTTTTAAGTGTTTTGAATGCACATTTTCCTTTTCTTGCTTATTTTATAATCTTTATATGGTGTATTTTGATGTTTTATTTGTTTTATGTAACGTGTTTTGAGATGCAACATTTAAAGGCTCTATAGAAAATAAAGATTATTATTATTATTATTATTATCCGAGATGGAGGGAGCAGAGGAATATGAGATGGGCTCCTCCTTATCTTGGTCTTCTCACGCTAGATCCTCGGCTCCCTCTCAGGGTTTGGAATAGGGTGACCATACGTGCCAAATTTATGGGACACGTCCTAAAATATCCAGGTTTTAGCTTTGTTTTCCTGGTTTCATACTTGCAGAAGGTAATGATCGAAAAATAGTTTGACTAATAATATGAAGGCATTGTACATAATCGACTAATTGTGGCACGTGAGAAGTTGGAATCTACAGAGAACGGTCAAAGCGATGCAAATATGCATATAGTTTAGGTTTGTGTTTGACTTGAAGCAGCACTTCGCAGACTGATTGGTGAATGACATGAAAGCATGGGCGTAGAATACGTGGGCAAGTGCAAGGCAAGTGTGTTCACGTTGAGGTTTTCAGGGGCCAGTGTGAATAAATTTAGATTTAAATTCAAAGAGAAAAGATAGTCTATGAATGACTTTTCGTATCCAAAATGAGGCGATGTGAACATTACACAGCACTGAACACTCTCATAAAGTATGTTTTATTCATACTCGAAGTCAGAGGGTGCTCTCGTGTAGAAAGTACAAAATTGAGTCACAGAAGTAACAACTTATGACGTGCAGGAAATCCCTAATATGGACAAAGGCATCCAACTATCGCTGTGGCTAAGCTGAATTAAAAAGATTGTGCAGACAATACATGCACGATCGCTACAAATACATAGATTATACATGATGTGTTTTTCAAGTCATCTCCAGGTAATAAACAATGTATTTGACAGAATTACTGACAGCAATTAGCCTATAGAAACTATCAAATATATTTTCTGCCTTATTCTGTGATAAAAATAAAGCTGAAAATGTGTAGTATATTAACAAATCATAAAATTGCATTAGGAAAATATAGGAAAAAAATATTCCAGAATACAAATTATTGGTAATTGTCCAGCAGTGTATTTGATTTCTTAGCCAAATAAATAAATAAATAAATCAGAATCAAAATCAGCATTATTCGCCAAATGTGCGCAAACACATGAGGAATTTGTTGTGTGTGTGTTTTTTTAAGAAGCTCTTGGTACATACATGCATACATACATACATACATATCTGACATGAGAACAGAAACATTTAAATAAGACTTAATAAATAATGTGTATGAATCTGGAACAGAAGATTTATGTAAAGATTTGTGCATTATTTACTCTATATAGCTGTATAGAAAATGTGCATATGTATTTACATAGTACGTGACAGAGAGGCAATAATTAGAGATGGAGAATGAACTACAGGCATGAATTACAGAACACAGGTAATAATTCCTGTGTTAGCTGTTTAGGCTGGAGATGGCATGGGGGAAAAACTGTTTTTATGCCTAGATGTTCTAGTGCACAGAGATCTGTAGCGTCTGCCTGAAGGGAGAAGTGCAAACAGGTTGTGGCCGGGGTGAGAGGGGTCTGTGATGATGTTTCCTGCCCGTTTCTTCACTCTGGAGTTGTACAAGTCCTGAAGGTCGGCAGGTGCACACCAACTATCCTTTCTGCTGTCCTAACAGTCCATTGCAGTCTTCTTATATCTGATTTGCTGGCTGACCCAAAACAGACAGTTATAGAAGAGCACATAACCGACTCAATAACAACTGAATAAAACTTGTGTCATCTGCACCTGTGGCAGGTTGAACTTTTCAGTTGACGAAGGAAGTACAACCTCTGCTGAGCCTTTTTCATGATGGAGTCAATGTTAGTGTCCCACTTCAGGCCTTGAGAGATGGTGGTTCATATGAACTTGAATGACTCCACTGCAGCCACAGTGCTGTCCATGATGATGAGTGGGGGGAGTGCAGGGGGGTTCCTCCTGAAGTCTACTATCATCTCCACAGTTTTGAGCGTGTTGAGCTCCAGATTGTTGTGACTGCACCAGACAGCCAGCTGCTCAATCTCTTGTCTGTAAGCAGACTCGTCGCCATCCTGGATGAGGCCGATGACTGTGGTGTAATCTGCAAACTTCAGGAGTTTGACAGAGGGGTCTTTATTTGTGTAGAGAGAGAAAAGCAGTGGGGAGAGAACACAGCCCTGAGGAGCTCCAGTACTGATGGTGGAGTTGGATGTGAGTTTTCCCAGCCTCACTAGCTGCTGCCTGTCTGTCAGGAAGCTGGTGATCCACTGACAGATGGAGGTGGGCACAGAGAGCTGGGTCAGTTTATTCAGAAGGGTATCTGGGATGATGGTGTTGAAAGTGGAGCTGAAGTCCAAAAACAGGATCCTTGCATAAGTCCCTGGTCTGTCCAGATGTTGGAGGATGTAGTGCAGTCCTATGTTGACTGCATCATCCACAGACCTGTTTGCTCTGTAAGCAAACTGCAGGGGGTCCAGCAAGGGTCCAGTAATGTCCTTCAGGTGGGTCAACACAAGCCTCTCAAATGAATTCATGACCACAGACGTTAAAGCAACAGGTCTGTAGTCATTAATTCCTGTGATTTTTGGTTTCTTGGGTACAGGGATGATGGTGGATTGTTTGAAGCAGGAGGGGAATACACACAGCTCCAGTGATTTGTTGAAGATCAATGTGAAGATGGATGATAGCTGGATAGCACAGGCTTTGAGGCAAGCTGGAGAGACACCGTCTGGGCCTTTGGCTTTCATTATCAAGAGGTTTCAGGAGGTGAGGAAGCAGG